TTTATTGTTATTGAAAGGTATGCTTTATGATGCATTTAGTTTTCTGTCCCAAACTGCTTTGAACACCTCTCGGTAGGATAAAAAAAAAGCCATCAATAATTTAAGCATGAGTAAGCTGCAGAATTGATTCAGTTCTGTCCTACTCCTGAAGATTCTCCCTTTCCCCAATTAAATTCACAGTGCAGTGACACTTCCCAGATATTCTGCCAGAGGTACTTATTCTTATAAATCGGAGTGGGCAACCTCGGTGAGGCCTACAGCCATTTTTCAGATCTGCCAAATTCCCAAGGGGGGCAGCAGGCGGGGGACTACTAAAAGGGAGGGGCACAGCCAAATATATTAATATCCATATGTGATTTATAAAATATTTTAAAGGTTTTTGTTAACTGAAAGATGATTTAACAGTTAAAAAATTGTGGTTTCCTAAACTGAAAAAAAGTATGTCCATGTTTTCTAGAGGCCCCTGTGGGATATTCAGTGTAGTGTAGTGGACAGAATGACAGACTAGGACTCAGAAGCCATGGGTTTGAATCCCTGCTCATCCATGGAAGCTCACTGGGGCGATGGAAGTCCTTAAATATCTCCCTTACCTTGAAAGCCCTATTAAGGTCACTATAAATCACTTCTGACTTGTCAGCACAAAAAAGTGGCCCATTTTTAAAATATGTGGAGCTTCAGAGATTCTGAGGGCTCTTAAAACATAGCAAAATTGTCCCCTCTACATCCCTTAGGGGCCACAATGGGACTTTTTGGGTCAATTCTTTTTTTAAAAAATGAGTGTGTTTGGCAGCTAGGACAGGAATGCTTGGAAAGGGGGCTGTATGTACCCCACAGGTTGCATTTTGCCCACTCTTCATCCATCGGATAGAAACATTCAGCAAACCAAAGGACATACTTGGCCATTTTCATCAGATCTCTGCCATGACATGAATCATACACTGACCACAAAGGAATGATTTTCACCTTCTCAATCTAAGTCTGACGCAAAAACATTTCTCCTTGCCCTAGGATAGAGGGATTTTTAAATACTGGTTTCACAGATTTTCCACACTTGGTTTTTGTACACTAATGTAAAATTGTGCAGAAATAAAACTGTGATGCTGTTTGTCTTGTTACATGAACTGGGACCAAGAATAGCACTGGATGGGGTGTTGGCATCTTTGTGCTCAATCAGCCGGTTCTTTTGGGCTTGATGTGAAACGGTGCATAGCTTCACAAAGAGAAAAGGCGATAGTCTTGCTCAAAAAGGCACACTTTCCTTTGAGACATTTTGTGCAACATGCAGAAAAACTGGCTGATCCTCCCAAAAACAAAACAAAACAAAGCAACAAATCATGTTTTGTGTCTCAGCCTTGCTCTGGAAGTGAGATCTCTCCTCAGAGTTGGAGAATCCTGAACAGGCTGTTTTGAAGTGCTGGAATGGGTTTATCTGGATTAAAATCTTGGTGAAAAAGAAGATAACCCCCCATCCCTGTTTTGTAACTATTAGATACACAACAAGCCAACATACACACGAAGAAAAAAGTCTTCTTACCAGACATTGCAGTGAGATCAGCATTGTGGCTGAATACTTCAGAAATTCCAAGGCCTTTCAAAACATCCTTCAGATCAATTTCCTGTTCTATTGTGAACCTAGGCACAATACACACAAAAAAAGAAGGATAAAACTCCCTACTGTTTTTCCCTCCACAAAAGGAAATGAATTGTCACTAGTGAAACAGAGAAAAGAAATTGAATTAATACAGAAGTAGCCTCAAGGGTTTTCCAGTATCTCAACGTGGAGAAAGCACTCCGAATTTTTTTAAAAAAAGTTAAATATTGTATTTATCAAGCTGATGCTCATTACTGACTTTTACTGGACATTGTCTTGTTTGAAATAATATTCTGAGGCTAACTGTTTTGTAGTCACACCGCACTACTGTTTTCAAAGAGCTGGCAAAAAGATGGTGCTGGTGATGTAGTTAATTTGTAGTGACTGTTCAGCAGAAAAAGAGGGAAACTTTTGGAGGTTATTAATTTGTTAAGTCAGAAACAACTTGACAGCATGTAACAATAACAGCTTTGTTAAGGTCGCTAAAATGTATTCAACTTTCACCAGTTTCTGACAGTGAACTCAGAGCAGCCCTGGCTCAATGAAAATATTGGAAGAAAGCTACCAAACCATTATTAAGAAACAATGCAAGCATGTACTTGAGATTTTTTTTCAAAGAAAGAAAGAAAGAAAGAAAGAAAGAAAGAAAGAAAGAAAGAAAGAAAGAAAGAAAGAAAGAAAGAAAGAAAGAAAGAGACATTTATATATATGTTTAATGGGATGACTAGTGGAATTTATATATTTTTAATGGGATGGCTACTGGAATTTCTCTCTCTCTCTCTCTCTCTCTCTCTCTCTCACACACACACACACACACACACACACAAGCCATCCCATTAAACATTTATATAAATGTCTTTTTCATTCTTCCTTCCTTCCTTTCTGCTAAGAAAAGGTCTATCATATATATATATGAGATCTTTTCTTAGCAGAAAGGAAGGAAGGAAGGAAGCAAGCAAGGAAGGAAGAATGAAAAAGACATTTATAAATATGTTTAATGGGATGGCTAGTGAGAGAGACAGAGAGACAGAGAAATATATATATAAAAAGGAAATCTGTTACCAAACTGGTAAATACTTTGCTTAGGAACATCAACACACAAGCTAAGGTTTCTTGTTAACTGTTTCCAGAGTATCAAGAAATTCAAAACCTCAAATGCTGGTATTTCAAGAGAAACCTGGCAGCCTGAGACAGAAGTGGCCAGATGGTCTCCTGCTTCAGTCTTCTGTCCACAGCCAAAAGCAGAAAGATCAGCTGTACCTGTATTAACATGAGGTCTGGCAATGACAGGTGCACCACAAAAAGTTGTTTTGAAAAGCAAAACAGCCTCCATCAAGGAAGCTATATAACAACAAACCAGAGTTAACGATCCACTATACAAGCACTTTAAGGACCTGATGGGAGTTCTAAGTCTTGAACTAAATGGAGAGAAATGACAGCATGCCAGACAGAAAGGAAGTGCTAGTTCACTTGATGTAGGGTTATATGTTCTAGAACAAGAGTAGGCAAAGTGCCTTCTTCAGATGTTGTTGCCTGCAGCTCCCAGCATTCCTTGTATTGGACTGGGCAGGGCACATGCTTTAACACCCATTAACCTGAGATTTGGCTAATTTATGCCTCCAAATGATTAAGCGGTCCCTAATGAGAAAGTCTAACATTGTGTTTCTCTACTTAGGAGAAAAGGGGTAGTTAAGGTTGTGACCCTTGCACCCACCTCCCAAGGAAGAAGCTCCATCAAACTCAGGGGCCAGAATCCTGCTAGGAAAAACCACACTGTAACAGCAATTGTGCAAGTGTTTCCCTACAACTGGCGGGCTGTCCTTCATGCCACTGGTTGTGCAACGTGTACCTTGCTAAGTTGGGAGGAATGTTCTGGTGCAACAATTATCATTGCATGTACATGTTCTTCAGCAGAGGTCCGGGCAATGGAACTCATAAACATGTATGCAAATGCTCTACAGGTAACAAACATGATAGAGGCTTACGGATGGTATTTGGAATAAGTAGAAAGATTGTATTTCTGCCTCAGAACTTGGGCTCATTAAATGAAAGTCATTGGCAGCAGATTCAAGGACGGAGAAAATGAAGGACAACTTCACAAAAAGCCTATTGTAGTTAACAGTCATCATCACCATCTTAAAACTACAGACCTGGAAGGGACCCCAGGGATCATCCAGTCCAGCCACTGTTGGGAAGGCTTCATGGGGAACTGAATTCCCAACCCCTGGCTCTGCAGCCAGATGCCTAAGCTGCTGAACTTACCTAGCAGTTCTTTATGGAATTCATCACCATGAAATGTAGTGAAGTAGAGACGCACACATACACACAAACAAGGAGGAATCCTATTCACTATTCAAATGATTGCTTAAGGGCCATTGTGAACATGTTCCTCCCCCAGCCCCATTGTCAGACTCTTCTTTGTGTGCCCAGTCACACACTGGTTGTGAAATTGGACACACACAAAGCGGAGCCCGCAGGAGGGGACAAAAGTACAGCGTGATTACATTTGTGCACACGGTTTTTCTCCCAATTGGGTTTTGATCATAGTATTTACAGCAGTCATTGTCCAGGCAACAAAAATCACACACAAAAGCAAATTTTATATATATATAAAATGTACTAAGGGAAATTCAGCCATTCTAAGTTGAAACATTCAAACAGTAAAATAAGTCTCAGTGGTTGAGTTCGTGTTCTGATTACAAATATAACAAGGGATAAGATCAGTTCATTGAAGGCAGGTCAGCCAGTTAGTATTAATTTTGAAAGCTAAATACAGCTGATTAGCCATCAGTGTGTCTCTAAACAGCCAAAGGTTGGAGAAATTACTTCATTTGACTATACCTTCCAAGTCTCATAGTCAGCGTGGCCAGTGACAAACCTGGCTGGGAGATTCTGAAGGTATGACCCAAAAGCTCTCTCTGGTGGTCAACTGGTATTTCCACATCTTGCTTGTGAACGTCCTGGAAGCATCTGTTCGGACATTGTCCTAATCAGGATACTACACGGACCCAAGGTTTGATCCAGAATGTCTCTTGTAGTACTCCAAAAAAAAGAAAGATCTCCTGATCCTTCCAGAGCTTAGAAGATCTGGATTCAGTTGATCTTCCTCCCTACTTCATTTATTTGTGGGATGCTTGAGGAGTTTCAGTCTCCTTCAGAACTGTGGAGACAACAGCTTTATCCCACTGGGAGATGTAATTGGTAATACCGCAATGATTCAAACAGAAGACACTTAGCAGGTTGTGTATACTTGGCAGTGTGTTGGATTAGTTAGCAGGAATAACTGACCATTCAGCAACGAAACTCAGAAGGAGACCCTGGGCACCTCAATACTTCTCAGCTGGACCTAGTATATAGGGTTTCCTCAATGTCATCTACCCACTCCACTAGGTCCTCCCAAGCAATGCTCCTCTGGGTACCTACTCCAAGGGAGGCCAGGAAATCATCCACCAGAAATAGGGCCTTCTTTGCTGTGGCACCAACTACTGGTGGAACTGAACTTGGCTCCGTCTCCCCAAACATTTAGAAGACTCCTGAAAATATTGCTTTACAGAGAGGCCTTTCTTGGCAATGCTGTCTGATGTGTTTTTCTTGGTGCTTTGTTATAGGCCTCAAGTGGCTACTCCAAGGGAGGCCAGGAAATCATCTATCAGAAATAGGGCCTTCTTTGCTGTGGCACCAACTACTGGTGGAACTGAACTTGGCTCCGTCTCCCCAAACATTTAGAAGACTCCTGAAAATATTGCTTTACAGAGAGGCCTTTCTTGGCAATGCTGTCTGATGTGTTTTTCTTGGTGCTTTGTTATAGGCCTCAAGTGCTGCATTTTATCCTGCAATTTATGTCTCTTCGCGTTTTCTGTTTGAGCGTTGTTAACTTCTTTTATCTAATATATGCCTATTGAGTTTTATCTTGCTGCAAACCACCCAGAGTAGTACATTGCAGTAATGGGGCAAAAGAGAGGAAGGAAGGAATGAAGTTATTTCAAGGATTTAAAAGATCCAGGAGCGGGGAAACTATGTACTTTCAGCTCCTTTTGAGGAAAGGCAGGCTTAAACATAATAAAAAATTAAATAAAAATGGTATATTTGAAAATCAAGACAGTTTCTCTCACCCTGCAAATGGTGTACTCCATGTAGAGACACAGAGGCAAAAAACCTGTCGCCGGGGGAAATTGTCACCAGAAACAGGTTTGTTATGTTAAAACTAGAAAACAGAAAGAAACATTCCGGACCATCTGGACTTCTCCGGCGAACGAGGCTGTGTGAAAAGCAACCGTGAGAGAAGGTAACAAGAGCCAGATTAAAAATGTCACAGGGATATATCACCAGACAAAGCAGCACTGCTGAAAACACTGAAGGAATGCAAAGGCTTGTGCTGAAGTGACAGGAGCATTAATTATGAAGGATTTCAGTTCCACTGACAATCATTAGGGAACACATGGGAGGAACACGTAGCACACGAAGAGGACAAGTTATCAGGGATCTCGAGAACTCCAGATGGTCAGACTTGGGCTGCTTTTGACCTAACACACTTCCTGAACATAGACATTAAGCCTCGGGGATAGCAGTTTTATTTATGCATCTATTTAGTGAAACATGTCCAACTCACCTTCTATCAGTTAGTAGATTGTGCTGCTGGCTTCTGAAGCCACGTAAGACCGATCCAGATGTAAAACATAACAGGTATTGTAGAAAACTAACTCATCCCTATGTCCACCTCTAAAGTAAAGTGAAACTGGGCTCTAAATCTGTCAATCAAGCCAACAAGGTTTCTAGAAATACTAGGACATTTTTACAGTTCAGAACAAGACATCCAGTGACATTCAACGTGCTGCATGTAGGAAGATGTTATACTGCCATATGGAACTGCCTCCCCAAGGGAGGTGGCTTGGCCCTCATAGCTGCAATATTTAAAAAGGCTTTGCAAACCCACCTGTTTTGAATAGCTTCTTTTCACAGGTGCATTTTATGGGCTCATGCTGCTGTTTTATTAATGTTTTATTGCTCTGTCTCTGGAAATAGCACTTATATTAGCTGAATT